AAACCCAACAAACAAACAAACAATAAAATATTGGCGGAAAGGAGGTGAGCTCCATCATCTTGTGGCCTGCATTACAATTTGGATGTTGGACTGGACACAAAGCTCGGGACTTGGGGGGGGGAGGAGTTACAAGTTACAAAATAAAAAACCTCATGAGAAAACTTGATGCCCCAGTCATTACCACCTGCAGGCGTGTCTCCAAACACTGATATGTAGGACAAGCAGAATGAGATCAATCATGCCTGCAGATCTCCAATTTAAAGCATCCCACCTCTCACCCTCCCTCACCCCTTGTGGCACACCATATCCCCATTACCTACAAACCTGCATCCCCGCTGCTGCTGCCATTGCTTGACCAACTCCATCTGCTCCTTCGCTGAGGCGAGCTCCATGGTGTACACTCACCCTGCCCCCTGCAGTCACTTATAAGATACTGTGGATTCCACCTGCTCTAGCCCCTGGAGCGAGCATCTCCAGAACATGCATTTTGGAACTCCTCAATCTTGTCACCAGTCCTTCCAGGCTGCCAAAAAGGGATTATTGTGAAGAAGACCTAGATTTTCAAAATGATACATTCTTGTATTATGTACATGTTGGTTCAAAATGGCTTACACTATTGTCTAAGATCCTAGTTAAAACCCTGCAAGTCTTCACTTTTCCAGTTTCAATATGAATTTTCACGTACCTCCTTGGGTGAGGGTTACAAAAAAAATTAAATCTTTATTTTTTTATACAGTAAACTCTCGATAACTCAAAGTCGGTTAACTTGAAACTCGGCTTATCTCAAACACATTCTTCATGCTCGCCAAGAGAGTAGGCTCTTATGTAAAAAACTACATGTACGTCCGTAACTCGAAATGCCCACACTACTACATCCGCTTAACTTGAAGTTTTTGAAGGGCCAATCTGAAAAGACTGCTGCCAAATCACTGGCAATAAGTGGAAAAGAACACGAGACTTTAATTATGAGTCACTGTCTTTTTAGCATGGGGACACGAGCATGCTTGCTGACAGTGCCATTGTAATTGACTCGTTGCGATCACGGCCTAAATAATATCCTTGCTATCAAGCAAGCCTGAATGCCATCGCTGCTGAAATGTAGCCGCATTCTTCCAGTCCAATTGTCATGTGACCACACTTGTGTGTGCTGCAGCTGTAGCCTGACTGCTGCTTCCTGCCCAATTGCAGCACTGGACGCGCTGTTCACAAGCTGACTGCGTAATCATGCTGGCCCAGCGCGGTGCTAGAAATGCTCTGTTTTGCATCGGCAAATCTCGCTTGAATATTTTAAACAGGTAGAAAAGGAAAGGTAAGAAATAAAAAGACAAAAGCACACAACTATTGAAAAAAAAATCGTTTTTCCAATCTCCAGTAGCCACCACAGGGTAGGTTGCTTGTATGCTGTGCGTGTGTGTGGGTGAGACTCAAGAACTTTCGTTTGCTCAAAATCCAGATAACTTGAATTTTTATCCACTCCCCTGAGGTTCGAATTATCAAGAGTTTACTGTATATATTAAACCTGCAGAAATTTTGTCAGTTTTCTTGGGTTGTAATTGACTACATTTACATGTAGATCATGAAAAGGAAAAACAGTAAATCATCAGTACCCCCCACCAAAAGTTAGTGGTTACAATGAGTTGACGCCAGACCAGTACATGTATTTAACACCCACAGTACGTTTACACATGTGATCATCAATATCTAATGTCAGGGTTCAAGTTACCAGAGGACTACTTGTCACAAGAGGGCAGCACACTAAAGCCTTTATACTACCTGCAGTTCCATTTGACATTTTAGTAGAAAATGGACTTACATAAAGAGGATTATATTACAGTGCTCTGGTGTGGGTATTTTCTGCGTAATTCCAGAGCAGACTGTAAGCACAAGAACTTGAATAAGCCCTACATTAAAAAAAAAAAAAAATAGGAAGTATTAAACAGAGAGAAATGCTTTGAAGAAACACTTTATTTTTTTTAGACAGCAGTTGGAATTTCCTGTTAAAATCATGTAGTTAATAAAGCGCTGTATTCAGGAAATCGTTACAGAGCAGCAACTGATAAGCCACTGACGTATATTTCCAAAAGTACAAGTACAGTGTCTGTGTTGGCATGCATGCTGATTTGGTATTTCAGCCATTGCGGTACGTATTTTCAGCTTATGGTGGGTTTGCAGAGGTGCAGCATAACACACATTGTTTCCTCTTGATTAAACTCCTCTGGTTGGACAATTTGTCTACAAATATAGCCAATCTAGGTCTGAAAGGAATGTGTTCATGACGCCCTTGCAAATTATGTGCATTTGTGTGACCATGTCAAAGTATTGATCTTCAGTGGAGACATTCAAGGATATTCACATCATTTGACAACATGGAAAGCATTTGTTCAGCTCTTACAGTGATAAATGAGAACCTTTGTGTGTCATTAGAGTGTGATATGACAGAGTCTGAATTTACAGTACATCCTCACAGAAAAGCCTTTAAAAAAAATCAGTACTAAAAACACAAATATTGGGTTGGCATACCAAATTGCTTCAGTTGTCTAGATTACCACAAGCCTGGGCTTTATGTTTTTTTCATGTTGTGCCAGTCTTGCGTCATGAGTAAGATTTCTTGCCAGCCCTTGTGCTTCATTGCATTAATTGCCTGGGTCTAACCAGGCGTGTGTGATACACTCTCCCGGTCTTCGTCTCTAGTTCTCGTCAATCTATTCCTTTACCCCTCTTACCCTCCTCTTTTGTCATGTTTCCCCCATCCCATTCGGTCACATATTATCCTGCCCTGCCTTGGTCTAGAAATACTGCTCTGATCATATCAAGCCCTTTTGCATTGCTTCAGGGAGGGCCTGGTGCTTCTGATTGCCAATAAATTCGTTGGGATCGGATTTGTTGTGACGCACATGGGTACCAGCCCTCACCATCGTCTTTGTTAATCTGTTCGCAGAGTACATGGGCCCAGTACACCTCACTCTCCTCCCCGTTGTGGGAAATTATACTCACACAATCTCCCTCCGAGTGATGGAGCCTCTTGGGGGGGGGTCAGTGTGCGCATGTTGCGTATGATGTATCAGTAAACACTCATCGGGATCTGGCAGAGAACAGGAACGTTTTTCCTTGCGTGGCCGAGATCGTAAGATTTGCATCCAAGAAGTGTTGGCTGGAAATGATTGGAGATGATGCTATTTGCGTCATGCTTCATCAGAAACTGAGGCTGCTGCATGATGGAGAGAAAAAAAAAAAAAGTGGCATTTGGCAGTGCATGGTACTTGTTTAGTGGCAGTAACGTGACGGCAATCATCGCTGCAATTCTTAATGGGACGTGCTACTTATTTACTTCTAACAGGTCGAGCCATGTAATTTTTTACAATTCCAGTCATTGTAAAGGCTCCTTTGGATCCTGTTTAACCTGATGTCTAATCTGTGCCGTGCCATTGTAAGGGCATTATGGTGCCTTCTTGATTTTTGTGCTATGCCAATTTGCATATTCATGAGCAAAATTGTGGACCCTCTGGGGTAGAAACCTTAGTGTTGTAGCTGTTTTGGGGCTAAAATTTGCCTGAATTTTGGACATTTTGCTGTTGTAAATTTCGTCCACTCTGGTGAAGCATTGTTGGGTAATTCCAGAAATTAGGGGTCCAAAAGTGTGACATTTTTGTGTCCCTGTTACATCTGACCTTCGTTATTTTACATGGAAATATCACTGGAATTGATTTCAAACAATTATTACTCGTTTGGCAGGTAATTTACATTTATTCATCACTCTTGGGAATTAGAAAATGAGTTCTGAACTTACAAAATCACATGTCAAATGTTTCAGGGACCCTCCCCCCAAAAAATGAACCCCTAATTTCTGGAATTACCCTGTCAGTAGGCAGTAGGCCAGTGAGCAAAGGTTTCTCATGTTTTTCAGTTGGGCCAGTGAGCCACTTCAGTATTTCAAAAAGTAACATCATTGGGGAATAAAGCACATGCTTGAGTCCACTTAGGGTTGAACTGATAGGACAGAGTAAGCACATATGCCTGAAAGACCTGTGACGCACTTCATTTTGGGCATATGCTGTTGGAATAATTTTTGGTTCACAATGTGAACAGGAAACCCCTGAAATGTAGAGTGTCTTCCTTGAATGGCCTCACAGCAACAGCACCTTTATTTTAAAGGAAAAGCTTTGAAAATTTCGAAATTTTAAAACTTCAACCAAAAAAAGGGATGTCCTATAGTGTTAAAGACGTAGAAGGTTGCACAAAAAAAATCCTGAGTAAAATTTGCATGGACCCTTTAATAAAGCCTTTGCATTACATTTGCTTTCTAGCCAGGCCAACAGGCACAGGTACTCGTGACAACCCAACGACAACCTCTTTTTTTTCTTGTTTCTTTCTTTCTTTTTTTAATCAATTTTTCTATCCATCGTCAGGTGGGGTTTGCTCTGGAGTCTGGACTAATGTTTCCTCAGAGCCCCGGCATGTTTGATTAAGATAAGGACAAGTGTGTAAATGTCACTGTGGCCAGACTGTGGAGCGCTTTGTAAAGCGATACTGGCAATCAGCCAGTATCTGAGCCAGAAAGGGATTTTACCCAATTGCTCTGCTAAGCGGGAAATGTTGTCCAATTCCTTGCCAAGTGTTTGTGAGGATCGGACAAATTTGTGTGTTTTCCCCCTCTCGTGCATCAGCCCTGTCTCTGTATGCAGTAAATGAATATTTACCCAAGCCCCCGGGGGTGTGTGGAAATCATTTTCATATAGGAGGATAGAGTAATGTTAGGGTAAGTATCAACTCTTGAGAATGTTTGGGGAGGTTATGGAGAGCAAGAAGACATTTGCATCTTTTATAAGAATTTTATACAATACCTAAATAAATCTCGCCATCTGACTGATTGGTTATTGATCACATGTCATGATTAATTCATCCCAACACAAAGCACATGGCTTCAGCACAAAAACAGAATTTCTAATCCTCAGTGTGTGGTAAATAGAACATTTTAATCCCTAATAATCATGGTTGCAGTATTGTTGACGTAACATGGCTCTTCACACCAAATAGTGACTGATAATGAGAAATATGAAGGTCCATTTCTTAGTTCAACAGATGAATAAATCTTTGAACTTCTGATGCTGATACAGCTAATGAAAAGAAACAACTCAAATTATCTGTCAGGTAAAGAAATTTGCAGGGCAAACAAAAGTTTCTTGAAAAGAAAAATACTGATCCAAAACTGGAGAACTTTCTGTAATTATTTACCCTGGAGTTAGAAGGGAAAAAATGGTGAGCAGGGTACATGTACTGATCAGATGAGGATTTACTCAGGCATTGTGTAAAGTAAATAATGAATGTTTCACATGTGTGCTGTGTAAAGAATACATCATGCAATGATAGATGGACTTTTGTTTTTTTAGCTTGTAGAGTTGGCAGCTGTTGTTTCACGTCTTGTCCAGGCCAACTTCTCTGTTTGGATTTAAGATGTTGTTTTGTGCAGCAGCATCTTGGGAGTTTTTTACTTTAGTTTTGGGTTTGAGATGCTTCCCTTCCCAACTGCTGTCAGTTGTTGGAAACTTAACTCTCATACATGACAAATTGACATCACAACTCTCCCGAGTTTCCAAAGTTAAATTGGAAGAACCGATGACTGTTGACTTATTTTTTTTAAGTTTAATATTGCACTGAAGAAAATTCTTATGGATATTGTGTGAGTGCAGTTAAATGCATGTTACAAAAAAATGACTCTTTTGCTATTCCATGAACAGCAGCATTCTATTAAAAATGGCTTTCAGTTGTTGCCATGCTTGGTTTTACATAAATGTAACCATGACAAGAAAGAAAAGAGCCTTGCAGTATTTATGAATGGAGGCTTTGGCATCACCTTGCCTTCAGGGTGTGAGGCTGAGATACAGTAACTTTGAAATGCGAAAATAGCTTATACATGTTTATGCATAAAGTGTTGTAGTAATGTCTGGTATCATTTGACATTTGAAAGTTTGTAAAGCTGCCACCAATCTTCCAAAGTGTATCATTTGAATATGGTGGATACATCCCTAGCAAATGTGTTACGCCAGTACTCATGAAAAATGGTCATCCGAAGTCACTATTTTCGTGATGTGAGTACATGATAAAAGTGTGTTCAGGGCTGAGATCTGAGTCTGAAAAGTTACAATGATAAAGGTTCAAAAGGGCTTAGTAGCCATCATTAGTAAATCCCTGGGGAGGCTGATTGGAGCCAGCCCCCTCCCCCCTAAAAAACCCAAAAGAGTCAACTAATTTCACTTCACCAGAAGGGTGTAAAAAAAAAAGGACAAAATGTAATCTCAGCCCTCAGAAAGGCAACAAAGGTTGCAATATAAATTTTGAAATTCTCCGCCCCCGAAGAAATCAAATTTGGGCCACAGGTTCTGGATCTGCCCTTTGTAGCCTTTTTATTAAAATGAGGAATGTAACGAAGAACTGCTTTTGCTTTACTTTCAAATGAATTTTGGTTTTTTTTTTAATTTGATGATTTGTTTGTTTTTCTTGTCCTTTAGATGTCAAAGTTGAATCGAGATCCCCTATAAAAGACACTTTGTTGCCAGAGAAGAAACAAGTCAAACCAGAGTGAGTACCAACTGTTTACTCTTGCATGCTTCTCTTTTTTTTTATTTAGTGTGATTTTTGCTTGTCTGATGCTGTCTTCCCACATCTGTCTGAATAGCAGTTGGGTTCAGCTGGAGCTTCAAACTTCCTGTGGCTGTACATATATATGTGTTGAATTCTGAGTTTCTGCGGTACCTCTGGTCTCAGGCCTAATCAGAGAAGTACATGAATGAAGTGCTTATTCCTTGGATGAAATGAATTACATTTATAATGGATTAATTAACTAAAACAAATTATAACTTATTACTGGTGTTCCACAGATATGTAATACAAAACTGCTGCAAACTACTTGCTGACTACAATGCCCTAAAATACAAATCTCAAAATATGGAGGGCCTGACGTTTCGATACTAGCAGAATATTTCTCAAAGGCAAAGAAAGATTCTGTTAGGATCGAAATGTCAGGCCTTCCATATTTTGAGATTATTATTGGTGTGGTTAAATTGTTAGACACACCGTATTCTTACATTGGCAACCCAGTAGCTTGTATCATCCAATGCTGGTTCCCTCTCATATCAATTTGATGGTACATGTAGGTACCTGTATCCATCATCCACAAAGAGCAAGCATCACATCACGTCTAGGATACCTAGATGAGACATGCACATGTACGTCCATTAGTTTTTAAGATGTCAGTGAAATCAGAGTTGCGCAGAAATGGAGATCATGCACAAATACCCAGAAAAATTGAGGAAAACGACTGTGGCAGCTATCATACCTGGAGATCTCTCATTGTAGTCAATGTCCTCTGCTCTGGGAACCGGACTGTTATCCAAATTCAGGAATTCATCAGTGATTCATAGCCAAATTCATTCACAACTTAATTAGGCTCTGTAATCACAGATTTAGGTTTGCCAGATTTTTAATGGGTGCTTGTAGGAATTTCAAGGGTCAGATTGCTGTGTAGCTATTTTGGATATATTCAGATTTGGGAGGCGAACAATCAGACACGTCACATTCCCACTATTTATTTTTTTTTACATTAATTATTCCCAAGATGATATTATTGGTACCATTCAGAGCATCACAGCTATTTTTCCAACATGTAGGAGCCTTCTAAAAAATCCACAGAAACATGTCTCCTTGAAAACTGAGTGCCAGATTGTTTCTCCATCTCTAATCATCCCTCCTGGTCATGTTTCATTTTTTTTTTCTTTACCGTTTCCGATGCACATTTTTAAATAAAAGGAATTCTCAGAATGGCCCTCCCTTTGCCTTTGGCGCTGTCTCAGCAACCCTGCTTGGCCAACTGACCCCTGTGTGTCCCCACAACAGGCTGTAACAGCTTTTAGGGGGTAAAGTAACAAATTTGCCAGATTTGAAGAGCTCTGTCCAGGGGATTACAACCCCTGATACTGGATCTGCTGATACTTGATCAGGGTGATAGACATGGACAGAGAGCGGCTACAGCAGCCAGTCAGTACCCAGGGGATGAACTCAAAGCTCTGCTTTATTTTTCTTCACTCACTCTCTCTTTCTCTCTCTCTGGACTGCTCACTTCTACCTTTCTGTTGTGTGCATTAATTATAATAATGGTGAATTGAGATCGTGTAGATTGTCTTTTTTGTAGGAGACAGTGATTATAGAGATAAACCTGATTTGGGATAACAGGGTGGTGCATGTCTTGGAGACGTGGTGATGAAGGGGAAGATGGTTAGTTGCAGAAGTAGTGATGGTGGTGATGATGATGCCTGGGTTTTCTCCTGTGGTTTCAATCCTTTGCCTTGGTTTTAAATTCTGCTGTACTGCTTATCAGTGGTGACTTGTGATTTGGCTTTCTATAAAATCATCCGTGGCAAGAGATGGCGTAACTGCTTGCGTCAGACCAGCTTTGCGCACATAGAGCAATAATTGAATCAGACTACTTCTTGAGGAATATCAGATGTTTTCATTTATTACACGTGCTTGTGCCATATATAATGCGCATCCGGAAGTTAAATGTATGAACTGCCAGTTTTGTTCATTAGATGCCGCTACAAAAATAGATGATGTTTGTACCCGCTCATATTAGAGATTTTATGATGGAAACCATATTTTATTTGGGAGAAATTTTTTTGAATTTTTGTTGCAGTTGCATTTGGCAGTCATCTTTCACAAGAGTCATTTTTTTCATTAAGAAAAAAAGATGATTAGCAGCAATGATAGGACAGTTATGCAGTATAACCCTCCAGAGTGTTGACAATGAGCCTCCCCCCCCCAAAAAAAAATTTGTTAGTCCAGGCAATAATGCTAGACGGGGTAATACAAGCATCAATGGTTGTATATCGCCAACATGTGCTGGCTAAAGAGCCCTCATCCATCTTCTTGGAGTGACCCCAAGTGACATTTGCAGCCAGCCGCAGCCTTAATGAGAAGCGAACAAGCGGCCCAGACCATTTCTCCCACCCCCAAGGGGTGGTCTGTCACCCCAGCTTACTGCCTGATGACTTGAGCCCACACGTTTTGATAACCTACCTGCCCACGTGGGTTTTGCGAAAGGGAAGACAAAAATTATCCCTAGGATCCCAAGGCATCTTCTGCCACTCGGAATGGACAATAGATTGGGAGGTGTTTGCTGTTGGATTTACCTGCCACGTGCCCCTCCAGGGCCGTTCGGTTCCACCTGCCGAGGAATTGGAGCCGGCCCAAATTGGAGCCTTTCCAGCGTGTAGCGCTAGGTGAATGCTATTAAATTACAGCCGTGGCATGGCATCTAAGCTGGGAGGAATGAAAGCATTGCAGCTCATCAGGCAAGTAATATTACAATCTCCTCCCTGACTGTGAATTCGTTCATTCCCACACCACTCACAGCCTGGATTACATCAAACACTCCCTGTGCTGTATTAGTTGTCCCGTGGCGTCTGTGTATTTAATGTGCCCACTTCACCAGTGTGTTGTATAAATAAATCAACTTGTAATACCTTGTAATTTGTTAGTTGTTACCTTTTGTTTACATTCACTAGCCTGCTGTCATATAGAGTTTTACATCTTTACATTTTTGTGTTACTGCCCTAAATTAATCCACCCCTAATATGATTAACATTCCGGGGTCATAAATGTCAAAAGTTTACAGAATTTAAATTTTTAGTGAGACTGTAGCAACTGCTCATGAGGAGATTAGAATGTTATTTGGCTACAGCAGATATTGAACTGACTTGAAATGTCTATTTTTAAGGACGTTGTGATCTAAATCTGTCATTTCCTGAATTTTTTTTTTAAACTTGCGGATAAAGCATTTTTGTGCAAATTACTTTTTACTGTTTAAACATCAAAGGGCATTTGTATGCTTGCATCGTTTTGCTTGATTGTTAATTTAGCAGTGGGAAACCTTTTTTCTTTTGTTTCAATTTTACATGTCTTTATTTTTTTCATTCCTTCAAATATTATGTTCCTCGTAGTCTATGAGAACTAGTAAAATTGTTCCCATCATTGCACAACTGGAACTTCTGTTACCAAAGTTTCAAACCCAAGACCTGTCTCTTAAGAAGTTAAGTGGAATTTTTGTATGGGCTTCGCGCATGAGCAAAAGAGGGCACCATTGCACCAAGCAACGATGTCCTGAATGCTTTTCGTCAATGTGCAAAGCTGTAAAGTCTCTCCCTGGATGCCAAAGGAGTCGATCAATCCATAGTTTTCATTGCAAAGTGTTGTCCCCGTACATATCTCGTCTCACAGAGTTTGCCTGCTGCGTTGGATCCCAGGCTTTGTGGGTTGTTGAGTCACATTTGAGTTTGAGTCACTGAGTAACGTGTGGAAGAAACATCTGCCCCATTTATACTCATGATGTACCCGTAAACAACCGTCAAGCCTCCTTTGGCACTATGTCAAAGAACCATCATGAAAAGTAGAGGCACATTATAGAAATCTGATTTACCTATTGAAATTTCTTATTGAAATAAATAGTTTGTGTTTGTAAAGAATTTGCACTAATTTAGAATTTATGTCAGTGATGACTTAAAAAAATGTTTTCAGTTGGCTTTTTGGTGTGACTGCTTTGATACATGTACATCTTCATTTTTTGATGATGTAGCTTTAAGGAGTCATTATATTCTAAGAGTGGGACTCTTTTTCAAGCATTAAATATGACATTTTACTCTGAACATGTTAGCCAGACAGCTGCTTTCCCTCTGCCAAGAGAAAAGCCAAGGGATGCCCCCTTTTTTTTAAAGAATAAAAGTAAATTATTTTTGGATGTGGTGTACATTTCAGAGACTTTGAAGTTCATCTGCAGTGTGCATATACTTTCAGTGGACATTTTTAATGCTTGCAAGGCCCCCTGATCTGACAAGGCCTACCTGCTGTGCGACATTTTTCAAATTGCTCCACATCTCCAACACCTTTAAGGTGAGAAGTGTAAATTAGCACCACTCATGAAGTACCATCTGCAGGGAAACATATTTGTAACGCAATACTGGATGACTTAATGAGCAGCGCACAGGTAAGTGTGCCAGCTAGGCAGACGTTAAATGTTTATAAGGGGGGAGGGGGAGAGAGAGAGGAGGGCCCACTGCGTCACATACACGCTCATGAGCAAAATGACTAATCACCCCCAGCGCCAGGAACTGGCTATGGACGGGGCACCGGCTGTTGACGTCTGTATCATCCAGACTGTGATGAAGGTTGATGAGAGCGCCATGCGATGATCTGGCGATTTGTAACCCGCAGCCGTTTGTGATATTGATTAATTAGTCATCAGCAGTGCTTCCTGTATGCCCTGCTTTGTTTTTGCGGTGCTTTTGTGGTCAATTTTCTTCAGGTTGTGCTTAGAAAGGTGTGCGTGTACATGTATTCATTTACTTAGGTTTTTTTTTTGTGTTTGCCTTTTGTATGTTTTGCTTAGATTTTCCAAATTGTGACACATGCAGTGGACATCAAAGTATTAAACATCCATGGCTTTGTGTTGTTAGGGTTCATATCTTACAAAAACTGGTTCTAATTTATGTTGGAATACTGTAAACAGATCATGTTTTGCCTGCATGGTA